TTGAACATGACGCTGCTTTTTTCGAAGTTTCTCAAGAACCATTCGAGCCACATAATTCGTTTTGGCATCGTTGGATAGAGAATTGAATGGGGGGAGGGTCATGACCCCCTTGACCCCCCTGGATCCGCCCTTGTGCATGCGAAACGGGCTTCAATCCCGAATTCGCATTGCAACAATGAAACAACATCGCAGCTTGCGTCCTCCATGTGGGCCACACATTGCTAAACCTCTCCATTGGCACAATTTATCGGCCGGTGCTTACAAGCCAATAGATTTCCCATTTCAATGGGTGTTTGCAAGCGAAAAAATCCACTTATGTGTGTAAATTTTGAGCGATTTATCTCCGATAACCTTCTCGGATCGTTTGATGGCGCAACGGTGATTCAGGCGTTGAGCAATCTCCAGTCAACTTTCTAGGCTGCAGGATTCCGGTGCTCTTCTTGTTAGGTCCGGGTAATTCAGCCTAATTTTCCACGACATTTGCCCGTTTAACTGCCCAAATAGAATGTTAGAAATGCCGAATGCTGCTGCTGCTGTTGACGCCGTTTGACCCCCGACAAGCGCTAATTAGTTCGAGGAAGTGACCGAAAAAATGCTGGCGACCAAAAGGAAAAACAACCGCTAAAAGACACCGCGCGCTTGATTACAGAATCACTGTCTATCTGTGTCGCACGATAATTAGACGATGTTCAGAACCAGATACGTTTTGTTCTCGGAAGTGGCGTCACCGATTTTTCTCGTTTTGTTCACATGGACCGGACGGGGCTCGGACCGTTCAACTGTTGGCCAGTTTAGACCAGAAACATTCATTCAACTCTGGTTTGCTTGATTTGTTTGCCCCCAACGCGCAAGGCGGTGAAAAATTCCAAAATATGTTGCCAACATTTTGGCCTCCGACCCCACAAAAGTACAAAGATCGACCCCAACTTTGCATTTTCATTCACAATTCGTTAGGATTTTGCATTATTGTTCTGTCGATCTACTGGTGTTGTTTCTGTTTGTTTGGGCATTCGCTTAGGAAACTGCGGAAGATTGGGACAAATTGTTCTCTTTAGAGGATTCTCCAATCTGAAACTGCGATCTAAAGGTTTCATTAAAATCCCGCTTGGTCCAGACTTTTAGCAAGTTGCAGAAATTTGGTCTAAAAATGGAGGTTTCCAGCCAATTGCCCGCTTTTCTTTAAAAATTCCCAGCTTCCAATCTGGAGCGGGCAGCATTTTGGGTTTCCGACCATCGCGAGAAGCCAGTTCACGCTGAGAGCCCTGAGAATCTCATTCAGATTGCGTTCAATTCTGAGCCATATCGACTTCCTGAGTGTTGGCGAAAAAATGAAGATTTTCAAATAAAAGCAGACTCTTCTTTGAAAAATCGCAACTTTCAAGCGACAGCAAGTAGCAACTTGAAAGGCGCCCCAACTATGCAGGACATTTGAGTCTAAACGCCCTGCAAATTTCGCACAAATCCCGTTAAACCCTGATTTTTGCGTATTTTTTATTGTTGGGTTTAAAATTGAGGTTTCATACATGATGGCATTATCCTTTTTAAAAGCCTGCAACGTTAATTCGGGACCATGCAGGAAGTCGACAGTCCGCCGATCTATGGAGAACAGTTGAGTCTGCAAATGCGGGAAATTTCGGGTAAATCGCATTCGATCCAAATTTTTGAAAAATTTTTTAATGCTAACCTTAAATAGGTGATTTTCATACGAAAACACGCTCATCATTAAACGTGTGTAACTTTTAAAGCGAAACAAGTAAGAACTTGAAATTCGTCCAAATTATTGGGGGCGATTTGGTTGTAAAACTCGGAAAATTTCGTTCAAATCGCATTCAATACTGACTTTGGGCAATATTTTCGGTATTGAGCCAAAAATGCTGGATTTCATGCAAGTGCACGGGCTGCTTTAAAAAATCCCTACTCATGACTCATAGCAAGGTGCAACTTGCTATTATGGATTTTTCTGTAAAACACCTGTATCTTAAAGCGAGGAAAATGTCGTCCAAATCGCGGTCAGCCCAGGTTTTTGCGAAATTTTTGAATGTTAGGCCAGAAATGGCGATTTTCCTACAAAAACACGCTCCTTTTTAATGGCTTGTAACTTTTAATTCGGAGCAAGTACGAACTTGAAACTATCCGAAGTCTACGGGGGAGATTTGAGTCTAAAACCTGGAAAAATTTCATTCAAAGCACATTCAATACTGAATTTCGCTAATGTTTTGAATGTTGAGCTAGAAATGGTGATTTTCATCCAAATGCACCCGCTTTTTTTAAAATTCGCCGCTTCTCATTAATAGCAAGTAGCAACGCGATATTTGGTTCTTTTATGCAAAAAATGTGACCCTTAATCCTCAGAAAATTTCGTTCAAATCGCATTCAACCGAAATGTTTTTCAATTTTTTGAATATTGAGATAGAAATAGTGATTTTCCTACCAACGCGCGCTCTTCTTCAAAGCCTTGTATCTTCTAATTTGTAGCAAGTAGGAACTTGAAATTTTCCCAAATGTATGGCGGAGATTTTGTTCTGAAACTAGGAAAATGTTCTTCAAATCGCATCCATTATGGACTTTCGGCAATATTTTGAATATTGAGCTAGAAATGCTGATTTTCATTCAAATGCACACGCTTCTGTAAAAAATATCTGCTTCTGGGTTATAGCAAGTAGCAACTTGATATTCTCGAATTTTATCGAAACAACATGATTCGCAAACCTCCGAAAATTTCGTTCAAATCACATTCAACCCTGAGTTTTGCCAAATTTTTGAATATTGAGCTAGAAATAGGGTTTTTCATATAAACACACGCTCTCCTTTGAAAGTTAGCAACTTTTAACCGGGAGCAAATCAGAACTTGAAATTCTCCTCACCTATGGAGAACATTTGAGTGTGAAAACCCGCAAAATTTCGTTCAAGTCGCATACAATACTGATTTCTGCCAATTTTTTTAATATTGAGCAAGAAATGGTGATTTTGATACAAAATGCACCCGCTTTTCCTAAAATGCGCAGCTTCTTATTCATGGCAAGTAGCAACGTGATATTCTCGAGTTGTATGGAAAACACATGATTCGTAAACCTCAGAAAATGTCGTTCAAATCGCAGTCCACCCTGATTTTTGCCAAATTTTTGAATATTGAGCTAGAAATAGGGATTTTCATATAAACCCACACTTCTCTTCCAAAGTTGGGGGTCGATCTTTGTACTTTTTTGGGGTCGGGGGTAAAAATGTTGGCAAAATATTTTGGAACTTTTTAACCGCCTTGCGCGTCGGTACATCTGGCAACGCAGCCCCCGATTCAGAAAAATGCCCACAGATGCATTTGTTTGCCAAACACTGTTCCCAATTTGAAGTGCTTAAGAGTGACCGATGATGAAAAGCGACTGTGCGGTTTGGCTTGCGTTCAATCGGCAATCGTCGGGCCAAACTTATTAATATAAATCAAACGGAATAAGGAGATAATCGCCGGCAATTTGTTATGATCATGTAATTGGCTGTCACTATTTATTATTCGTGTTATCGCTAATAAAGCGTTCAGCCAGCCATTCCTTACCTTCTCGTTCTGATAGGCGGTGACTGCGATGAACTCGGTCTCCTTGAAGACGTACGTCCGAAACGTCGAGTAGGGCAGCTTGAGGATGTCGTTCGCCCTGACTAGGTGAAACCTTGGCTGGTACTTGTGCATCGAGTTCAGTATCGTCTGGAAAAAAGCCAACAGAATGCGGTTCACTATCGAAATGAGTCAATTTCCTCGATCCGTTCAACAAGCGGGCACACAGAGTGAGTGAATTAAGCGAAATGCCGCTCTAATGAATTACGGAAAAAAAACCTCGTAAATACCGCCGTGAAGAGATTTTATTGGCGCATAGAGGCCGGATCATTAAAGGAGCATAAAACCGCATTTCTGTCATCGGTGCGAGTGATAAAAATCTCGATTCTTGATTCGAAACAATCTTCAGCCGGCTCAACGGCGAATGAAGTATTCCAGTAAAATTTTTATTCCCTCCTTTCTGGGAATCAGCTCATTCCGAACGGCTACAGGGTGGCACCACGTCCATTTCGTCTCTATCGGCTGTGCTAAACTGATCCGCTGTTGAACTGCTCATAACCGTTCGCTCCTTGCGCTAATTACATTCAACAACGGCCCGAACAAGTTACGTAAGAAACTCTTTTCGACATGCTTCGAGATTGATTGTTCAGCACAATGACAGGTCAGATCGCGCTTTTTCCCCTATTAATCGATTAATTTGAATAAAACAACTATTTAAAACTGCCACCTAGTTGAAATGCCTGCCAGTTAATTGAACTTTCTAATAATCGAGCGAACAGTGAACTTGCACATACACGCTGCGGTTCGGTCGCTGCAAGTCGACGTTCCAACAATCTTATGGAAGAAATTCTCCGACCAAGTTGGATAACGATCGAAAGTTTAGAGGAAATTCAGAAAGTCAGAGCAAAAAGTTTAAAAAAGTGCACGGTTCTGAGTGGCAGAACCGGTTTTGAACTTGGTTTTGTATGCGGATGACACATTCATTAAAGCACAAGACCTTTGAATGTGTCCCTGATGTCTCAACACAGGAACCTGCGAGAAATATTAAAACCGTTGGGTTGACCAAGAAAATTAACGCGTTTTTTGCATTTGATGCTTTTCCGGCTGCAAAACGGTGCACGCCACTGGATTTTCTACAAAAAAAAATTATTTTCCAATTACCAATTTCTTTGGCATCAAAAAAGCTCGTCTGAGTTTTTCACTTAAGAGTACAGTTTTTTAATGAAAATAGTAAAACCGTTGGGTTGACCAAGAAAATTAACGCGTTTTTTTCATTTGATGATTTTACGGCTGAACAACGGTGCACGCCAATGGATTTTCTGCAAACAAAAATTATTTTCCAATTCCCAATTTCTTTGGCATCAAAAAAGTTCGTTTGAGTTTTTCACTTAAATGTACAGTTTTTTAATGAAAATAGTAAAACCGTTGAGTTGACCAAGAAAATTAACGCGTTTTTTGCATTTGATGCTTTCCCGGCTGCAAAACGGTGCACCCCAATGGATTTTCCACAAACAAAAATTCGTTTCCCATTCCCAATTTCCTTGGCATCAAAAAAGTTCCTTTGAGTTTTGCACTTAAATGTACAGTTTTTTAATGAAAATAGTAAAACCGTTGGGTTGACCAAGAAAATTAACGCGTTTTTTGCATTTGACGCTTTCCCGGCTGCAAAACGGTACACGCCAATGGATTTTCTACAAAGAAAAATTATTTTCCAACTACCAATTTCTTTGGCATCAAAAACGCTCTTTTGAGTTTTTCACTTAAATGTACAGTTTTTTAATTAAAATATTAAAACTGTTGGGTTGACCAAGAAAATTAACGCGTTTTTTACATTTGATACTTTTCCGGCTGTAAAACGGTACACGCGAATGGATTTTCTGCAAACAAAAATTATTTTCCAATTCCCAATTTCTCTGGCATCAAAAACGCTCCTTTGAGTTTTTCAGTTAAGTGTACAGTTTTTTAATGAAAATATTAAAACCGTTGGATTGACCAAGAAAATTAAAGCGTTTTTTGCATTTGATGGTTAACCGTCTGAAAAACGATGCACGCCAATGGATTATCAACAAACAAAAATTATTTTCCAATTCCCAATTTCTTTGGCATCAAAAAAGGTCCTTTGAGTTTTTCACTTAAGAGTACAGTTTTTTAATGAAAACAATAAAACCGTTGGGTTGACCAAGAAAATTAACGCGTTTTTTTGCATTTGATACTTTACCGGCTGCAAAACGGTGCACGCCAATGGATTTTGTCAAAACAAAAATTATTTTCCAGTTACCAATTTCTTTGGCATCAAAAAAGCTCGTTTGAGTTTTTCACTTAAATGTACAGTTTTTTAATGAAAATATTAAAATCGTGTTGGGTTGACCAAGAAAATTAACGCGTTTCTTACATTGGATGCTTTCCAGTTTCCAGGCAGAAAAACGGTGAACGTTGGTGGTTTTTCTGCAGAAAAAAATTATTTTCATATTCTGGATTTGTTTCGCAACACAAAAGCTCGTTTGAGTTCTTCGCTGAAATGCACAGTTTTTTAATGAAAAAAGTTAATCCTTTGAGATGGATACTTTCCAGTTTCCCGGCTGAAAAACTGTGCACGCCAACGGGTTTTCTGCAAACAAAAATTATTTTCGAATTCCCGATTTGTTTGGCAACACAAATGCGTTTTTAGCTGAAATGCACAGTTTTCGATTAATAAAATAAAATCCCTCGAATTGTGCGAAAAAATTAGCGGTTCTGAGCATGCTTGCGGGTGTCGCTCCTCAAAAGCCTGCACTTTTCTGCATGTTCTCATGCCTGCAAATCGATCAATCACTAGTGTTCCAACACTAAACCCCCAGTGAACAAACGAAGACTAAATCAGAAGAATTTTTCGAAAAGTTAATTCAGCAAGTTGAGACCCCCTATACATATAAAAGCCAGGCAGGCAGCGCTATCAGTTCTGGCTCAAAGCGGGCCGCATCGTTAAAATTACTTAACTTTTCAACACTTTTTAAGTACTGTATTATCACTACGGCCAACCTAATACGCAATTGCGGTTAAAAGCTGACAATCGTCCAGTGCAATCCTGCAATGGGATCGATGGGCAAGACGCCACCTAAACCACTGAAACTGTGCGCTGGGCGACTGTTTTCTTATCTCAACGGTAGCTGAAAAGAAGACTTAACATCCCATTAACCTGAAGTTGGGTGCTTTTAGTTGGAAAGGGCAACGGCAGAGGCCACCCGGGTGTCTTTGATGTTTTTTCGGCGGAATGTCGGAAAGTCGATCGTGTGAAGAACTGAAGAAGCACCAATCGAACATTAGGAGAAATCGGTCGAGTTTTTCTGGCAAAACCATCAAACACCGAAACTGAACAGGATATGTGCACAAAGCGAAACAGACATAGCGGGGCTGATGCGCTAGAAGGAGAGGCCAATAGATGCGGCTTGGCGCATAGACCTGAAAGGCACAACATTTCGCATTTAAATGCGAAAATTATGCTCATTTTGAGGTGAAACGACTGGAGCTTATAGTCGACGAGACTTGCTAATTATTTTTGCCAAAGTAATTTTAATATTTCCAACCTCACACCGTGTGGCGATTTTTATTGATGTATAAATAACGCTTAATATGATTTTCGTATTCGGCCAGCATTGCGGAGCGGCTGTTTTGAAGTCCACTCGAACAATGACCACTGGACATTTTAACGAGAAAATCGAGACGCATTAGATCCGGTCTATCGGACGGACACCACAAGACACTAAAAACCGTTTTGCGGGCCTTTAAACCCCGCCTAACCTTCGACCTTCGTTAATTATCCCAGGGGAATGCAAAGTCAATTGTCAAATATTTAACGTTGAACGGGGGGAATAATGCATCTTAATTTGGGGCTTTGGGGAGCCGGCAACGCGTGCGGCTTGATTCAGCACACAGTTGCTACTTTGCCATTTATTTCAATTTTAAAGAAGTGAATATCTTGGATCCTCCAGAAACGGGGTTTTATGAAGGGACTGTTGCGGTGAGCTCGGAAAAGCAAGGCGTAGCGGCAACGCTGCCAGTGAGATGGCTGCTGATAGTTCCAGACAGATGAATGTTCCATAAAAGCAGCAGAATATTCGGGTGCTGCCAAACGGCTGTATAAAGCAAGCGCGACTCGCCCGAATTAAGGAACTAGTTGTGAATCAAGGTTGAATTGTTGGTTATCATGTTTCTGTCTGAACAATTGCTTCAAAAATTCAAAAAAACTTTAACTACTTCGATAATTTTTCAGTAACTAAATCGAGATCCTGATTGTTTTCAAAATTTTTAGTAGTCAAATCGGGGAGATGATACGAAAGTGTTTCTATCAAAACATTTTCGAGGCCATTGCTTGAA